AATACAAACCTTATGTGAAGTATCTATCTGAAGAAATGAAGCTAGCTCAGAGGAAATCTCGCCATGTAGCTGAAGAGCCTCGTTGAGATATCGCCTGTAACAGTCATAAGAGGTTTGTACAGCAGAAGAATTGGGGTCCACAGCTGGTATTAACATATTTCCCATATTAAAAAAACGTAGTGATAAGGCCGGGACAGTATTAAGGCTCATTGCATTATGGCGCGATAAATCCCCCGTCAAAATAATAGATCGGCCGCCAGAACCTGAGACATTTAGCATTCTTTGTTGCGAACTTGACAGTGAAAATCCACCATAGTGATTAATCTCGCGTTCTGCTATAACAGCAAATGCTGCACGCACGGACATGGCGGCTAGTTCACGATTAACCATCTAAAATAATATAAAATTTATGAAAGAGGATAAAAATATATTTAATGAAAAGTAGGCGTAGCGTGAAAAAAAACAAAAAAATTAAATGAGTAAATAAAATGCATAACCTGTCTGTCACGAAACGCTGCGAGAAGCGGAAGCATGAATACACCAATATTTTGATGTAGTCTATTTGGAGTATGAAGAGCAATTTCCCGAATCAATAGAATCTGATAACAGAAAAATAATTGTATTAATATGCAGCCTTATGATGGTAATTAGCATACAAAACCTTAGCATTACATTATAAGACCATAATTTTATAAATATATTATCTTACGCAAAATTGCCTATTTTCATTCTTAGTAAAATCACAAAGTGTTTTCCTGGCCCTGTGCAGTAGGGTCTCTGGGAGTTCTGAGAATAAAAGACAGAATTGTCCCAGCAAGCGAGCCTCTAGCGTAGCCAAATACAGATCCATTGGGGCAGAATTACTTAATATCTTGGCAGCAAATCTAATGCAATAGCCATGCATATTCATAAAATCAACTTCGGCTAAACAGCCCATGGCAATAACAGCTCCAGATTTAGCGAATAGGTCACCAACGTGCATGATGTTTATAAGCTCATTACACATTGAATCGATAAAATCAATGTAATTCTGTACAGAAAGTTCTTTTAGCTCGGAGCCAACAAAGTGCCTCAACTGAATAGCTGTCCGAATTCGCAAATCTTCACTTCTAGAGCAAATTCCATCAATAAACCTGGAGCAACTGAGCCAAGACATTTTTGAATGGCTAAATAAGTAAAATTTTAATCATGTGTACATGTAAGATAAAAGGAAATAAAGGAAGTAAAGCGTATCAAGAAAACACATATAT